TGGGCTCTTGCCCAGAATACAATTGAATGGTGATGTTCATTTAGACCCTTAATGCTGAAACAAAATAAGATGTAGCTGTGTTTCTGTTAGAAATTTATTTGTTCTTTCCAGTGTCTCTAGCAAGGGATATGATGTCATGTCCTTTCTCTTCTATTACACCCCACAGTGATAGCTCCTGCTACTGCTGTTCCATAATTTTTCTGAACCAGTTTTCTGAAGGAAGGCCTGAATCCAGGTGATGATATCTTTCAGATGTGAAGCATCATCACCATTCATTAGTCGCCTTTGAAAAATTTTATACACTGTGAGCAAGCAGGCTAACTCAGTGTTGTTGACCAAGCAAAAGAGAAGTTTAACATCATGGTGTGTGTATGTACTTTCTGACTGGCAAAGGCATTCAAGTTTTTGTTACTATCATGCTAGTTTTTCAAAATTAGATAAATAGTTCACTCTGCAAAAAAATTCAAATAATTGTATCTCAAATGGGCACAATTTGTAAAGCATCATTTGGAAAAGTTGGGGGCAGCTGCTGGACCTCCACCTCCGGCACAGGAGGTTCTAAAAGAGACTAGGCTTTATGCAAAAAATTAGTCAGATGACAATAGGCAGTGATGAGATGGGATTGTCTTCTACTTCCTCCTTTCCTCTATTTCTTTCATCTCACTGGCTATGCTTACTAACCTTTTTTCTGTTTCTATTTCAAATCAGGAAGGAAAAAAAAACCTAAACCGCAGTTCATAATTAAATACTGAGCTAGTTCTTACCATGTTTACTGAATTACATATTGCATATATGGTTGTATATCCTCTAAGTTTTCATGTGTTTTTAGATTTCTAGACTTAATATGTTCCATAGGAATAGACCTTAACCCCTTCCTGTCTTTCATGATGAGATTTGCCTCCACAGTGTAAAGGAGGAGTAAAGCATTGCAACTCATTTACAGATCCCTTCACATTTTAGGGATTAATAGAGCCATGAATATAGTTACTTGGCTCTGTGGATTCTCCTGGTTCAAAGTAGAGATTACTCCAGCAGAAAATCTTCAGTGTCAGCCTTACAGCTACAATATGCAGATCAACCTGAGGTGGTGATATGCCCAGTGATATCTTTGCACAGGTATCTTGGCTGCAGAATGGCTGACCTGGTAAAGAGGGCTTTAAACCAGGAACCATAAGGGAGGGAGTTACTGCAGCTCTGAGGGAGCGATGAACAGGCTGACAAGCAAAGTGCCTGGGGTGATGTGAACACGGAGAAACACAAAATGAATAAAATAGGACTCAGCTAGGGTCACCTCAAGAATTTGCATGTACATGAGGAAGTCTCTCCAAAATGCCTGCAATACTTAAGCACACAATGTGAGACATAAACATGAGGAGTTAGGGTCTGTGTGCAGCTTCAGGGGTAGGATTTTGTTGGGATTCCAGAGATGCAGTAGATGGACTGGAGTGCTGCAGTGGAGAAATACAGACAGGAAGAAAAGGAGAGAGCAATTGAAGTGCATGGAGCTCTGCATGAGGATGAATGATGAGAGCTTACGGTAACGATTAAAGAACAGACTTACAGTGGTGACTTGATAGTAAGTGTCTCCTATGGGCTGACTGACCAAGAAGAACAAGCAGATGAGACCCTGTACAGACAGACAGAAGCAGTCTCCTCCTCCAGACCCTGATCCTCATGGGGACTTCAATCCTCTGATACCTCCTAGAGAAGCAAGGCATACTTGTAACCAGCAGGTTACTTAAAAGCATTAATTATAACACAAGAGTCAATGAGAAGAGGTGTTCTACTAGAGCTCTAACACAAAAATGAGGAAGGCTTCAGTGGAATGAAGGTCAAATGAAGCCTTGATTATTGTGATGAGATGGTGGAGTTCAGGAACCTGAGAAGAGGGAACAAGGTAAAAAGCAAGTTCACAACCCTAGACTTCAGAACAGACTGTAACATCTTCATGAATCTGCGTGGAAAAGTCCACAGTAAAGGGCTCTGGAGGGAAGAGGGTTTCAGAAAACCTGGATAGTATTCAAGGATCACCTCCATTCAAGAGAAGTCCCAGCATACAGGAAGTCAGGCAAAAACTCTAAGAGGCCTGTGAGGTTGAGCAAGGAGCTCCTGGCAAAATTCAGTCGTTAAAAAGGAGTATACAGAAGGTGGAAGTAGGTAACATGGGAGGAGTGTAGAAATAGCCTGGGCATGCAGAGACATGGTTAGGAAAGCCAAAGCCCACTTAGAGCTGACCTTGTTACGGGATGTCAAGAGCAACAAGAAACGTTTCTGTAAGTATCTACTGAGGTGGGTTGAAAACTGGCTGAATGGCCAGATCCAGAGGGTGGTGATCAGTGGTACGAAGTCTGACCAGAGGCCCCTAACTAGCAGTGTATCCCAGCAGTCAGTACTGGATCCAATTCTGTTCACTATCTTCATTAATGTTCTGAATGATAGGACAGAGTGTACGTCAGAAAGTTTGCCGGTGATACAAACTTGGGAGGAGTGGCTGGTATATGAGAAGGTTGTTCTGCCAGTCAGGTGAAGTTTGACATACTGGAGAAATGGTCTGACAGGAACATTATGAAGTTTAACAAGGGGAAATGTGAAGTCCCACACATGGGGAAAAATAATCCCATGCACCAGTTTTATACAGGGGACCAACCAGCTGGAAAGCAGATTTGCAGAAAAGGACCTGCAGGTCCTTGTGGACACCAAGTTGAGCATAAGCCAACAATAAGTCCTGCAACCAAAGGGACTAGTCAGCACTAGTGAGGCCACACTTGGAATGCAGGGTCATTCTGGACTCCCCAGTACAAGAAGGACATGGACATAACACAGAGAGTTCAGTTAAAGGGCTGCTAAGATGATTAAAGAACTGCAACATATGCAAAAAGACTTTGACGAGACTGTTCTGTTTGGAGCAGGGAAGGCTCAAGTGGGGATCTGATCAGTGCACATGAGTACCCAAAGAGAGGGTGTTAAAAGGATGAAGCCAGGCTCTTTTCAGTGGTGCTCAGTGACAGGACCAGACTCAATGGATACAAACTGAAGCACAAGGGAGTTAATGTGAACATCAGGAAACATGTTTTTACTGTGAGGGTGACTGTGCATAGGCTGCCCAGAGAGATTGTGGGATCTACCTCCTTGAAGATACTCAAAAGCTGTCTAGTCATGGTCCTGAACAACTGACTCTGGATGGCCCTTCTTGAGCAAGAGGTTGGACCAAGTCATCTCCAGAGGTCCCTTCCATCCTCAGCTGTTCTGTGATTCGGAAGAAATGGATAATTGCTTTTTATATTTTCAGTTCCCATTTCTCTAGAACTTTCAAATAATCCACTGCCTGGTGTGATGATCACCTGAATCACTGGTATTTTGACACTGAGCTGGGATAGAATGCTGTATTACTCTTTGAAAGTGACCACCTGTCCCACAGGATTGCTGAGTTGACAAATGTATTGCTTGAATTCCTGTAATATCCTCCTGCTCCACATTCTCTCAGAAAAGCTTTTCCTGAGATGCCCAGAGACCATGGGAATGTTACAAGGTTTATATATGCAGTAGCTGCATACATTTTGAGTATACAAAAAGGCAACCTGGAAAAGGAATCTGTCCTGCTGTGTAAGGATAGGTAATGCTGATGTGTGTTTTTAGAACTGAACTGTTGCTTTACACTGCATATTTCTCTGCTTATGTATCTCTTACATAAATCTGAACCGAGGTTGGGTCTCATGTTTTATAGTCAGAGCTACGCCTGTGAGCAGAGCAGAGCAGTGGAGGACTTTTCATTTTCCAGTTCCAACCATGTGGAGTACTAGAAGTTCCAAACAGAATGCCTGTTGTAGATATGCTTACAGGGGTTTAGACTGAGCTGAAAGGAAAAGTGTTTATAGGGATCTGTGTTCTTGTAGCTGATCCTACTTGGACCTCAGTTTCAGTTTGAACTCACATTAAAATGTATGGATCTCATGCTTGAAGTTATTCAATTTTTCAATAGCTTGCTGAATCAGCAATATACTCTGAATATGTTTGAATCTGAAAGACTGAGGCTGGACCAGTACTAAGAATAAAGACCAATACCAGGCTGGATGGGAATCTGAGTAACCTGTCTAGTGGAAGGTTCCCAGCTCATGGCAGGGAGGTTGGAACTAGATGATCTTTAATGTCCCTTCCAACCCAAACCTTTCTATGATTCTGTGTTTCTATGGATCCATGTTAGATCCATATTTTTAGGTATATCCATATCTATATTAATAGATACATACATACATATAATTATTTATGTGTGGAAGGTGAGACTGGGGAGATTCAAACATCTGGTGACTCAACTGAAGTCCTTAAGCCCTGAGGACTTTTGTTATTTTGTCATGAAACCATAATTGTATAGAATGCTCAAAGAATCCTTTTATCATGGGCTAGAGTTCATAACTTGCTTACTTCGGAGCAAGGATAAGCAAGATTTGCTCTCTGGAGCATCTTACAAGGCCTAAATTATGTCATTGATATTGGAGAAGCTTAAGAAGAAAACTTCATACATTTTGCGACATGGTTAAAACTAAATTTAAAAGACATCTTACCCTAGCATATGAACATGAATATGCAAGTTTTTGTGTGCAACTTGCTGGAGTCACAGTTTTTTCCAAATCTGTATTTTGTGACTTCAGTTTTTAATATTATCATTGCTGTGTCAAGAAAATTAAAACAATTAAATAATACTTCCTTTTCATTGTCAAAACTGTTCCTTTCCTTTTAAATAAAATTTCTTGTCTACTCAGAAAAAAATAGATTTAATTATTATGTATTCATTGCTGAGTTCTTTCTATCATCTCACAAGCACATAGTGTAATTGGTATCACATTAGTTATTTAGCAAGTAAGCAGAGAGTATCATTATTTGTCTGTATGCCTGAAAATGCTGAAAATTTAGCTGTCTTACTCAAAAGGGAAAATAAAATTGGCAGTATGATAATATGTTTTTTATTCATACAAAAATAATTTCTTTTTTTTTTTATTTGACAGATTACTTGGCTTCTACAAAGGAATATTTCCTCCTGTCTTGGCTGAGACACCCAAAAGGGCGGTGAAGGTAAAAATCCCAAGCTTCCTCCTTTAAAAATATAAGTAGAGACAGTGCCAGCTGTAAACCATTTTATTTATCCCCTGATGATTGAAATTAGAATCTTAAACTTATTTGGCATATTAATCCTCTGATTTTTACTAGGAGGGAACTTTCCTGTTGATAGTACAGCAGAAACTATCGTTGATTAAGAAGTGCAGGATAAGGATCTTATATGCTAAGCTATTTTTGCCGTGCATATCTAATGTTACAGGAAAAAATTGCAATTATTCTGTATTGTCAAAAAATTAATAAAATAGTTTGTTATTTTAACCTCATAATTACCTCTGGTTTAGATATTTTCTTATACTGAGAATGCCTAGCAACTTGCAAAACAATAGCTTAATAAATTAACACAAAAAGCCATTAAAGAAGCCACTAAGAAATACTTACTCAGTAACTTGAAGTAGTATATCTGTAGATGGGAAGTGCTGCCCAGAGTTTTCTTGTGCTCCAAAGAGTGCTCTACTCCATACTCTTACTTTTTAACAGATTGAAGACAGTAATGGATTCAACTCCTCATTGTGCAAAGAACATTTTACTCCAACTCTCTCACAGTTGAACTAGATGCTAGCATACAAAATGTATTTGCTGTCAAATGCTGATCTGATTTCCTTTTATTATCCTTTATTTTGATTTGTTGAGCATGATTTTAGTAACATTTCTAAGCAAAATACTTCAATACATCAATTTTTTCAGTTGTCATGCAACATTTTTAATTGAAACCTAGTTATTAAACACGTCATCTTAAAGTTCTAAATTTATCAAAGCATCAGTTGTGTTAAGAGCAAACATTTCTTTGCCTTTTGCTTCAGAACTTTGAAGTTTCCCATAGTTACACCAAATGTGTCTAAAAGCATTTATTATACAGAATGTCTTGATTTTTCTTTCTTTCTTTTTTGGTTTCTTTCTTAAAAGGTTGCATGTGATTCTGGTCCTTAGTCTGCAATTAATCATTCACATTCCAATTCCTTTACAGAGGAATAATATTTGTATAAAGTGACAGGATGTGACCTTGTAACAGAATCCTAAAGGAGTTCTGGTAGTATCATCTTCATGTTTGCATTGGCATCTTAGATGCAAGTGGCATATGTCACCTACCTCAAAAATATTTAATAAAACTAAGAAAAACAAAGTCCTATTTAATAGCAAAGTGGCAGTGAAGAATAGATGTATGATATTTAGAAGATTCCTAATAACTTGTTTTCTTTATCCTGTAATGTTTCATCAGTCTCTCCCTTTCATTTCCTTTGAAACAGAATGAAGTAAATCTGTGCTTTTTAGATCCCAGCATATATTTAGTTAAAATACTAACCCAGGTTTGATTTCTCCTGAGCCATTCAAAAATCTCAAATCACTTTTTCTTGCTCAAATTGATTAAATTGGCTTAAACTGCACAATATTCAATATAAATATAGAATCGTAGAAAGATGTAACTTGGGAGGAATCTCTGGTGGTCATCTGGTGAGCCTCCTGCTCAAAGCAGGGATGACTTCATGGTTAGATCACATTGTTCAGATGCCTTGTCTGGTAGAGTTGTGAAATTATTCAAGGATGGAGATTGTGGCCTCTCTGTGCTCCTGCTCCAGTTCTTAGTCGCTTTCACTGTGAAGAATTTTGCCTTATATCCAATCCAAATTATATACAAATTATCCTGTTGCAACTTTTGCCTGTTGTCTCTCATGCTTCTGTTGTCAGCCTCTGAGAAAGCCCAGCTTTGTCTTCTGTGTAACCTTTAAATGATGGAAGACAGAAATAAGATCATCTCAGCCTTCTTTTCTCCAGGCTAAACAGACAGTTCTCTCAACCTCTTGTACATCTTAAGCTCCTTTAATGTCTTACTGATGCTCCCTTAGTGGGGTGCTTTCTACCTAATTCTTGGACATGCAACCATGAGAATCAGGTTTAAATGGGGGGAGAGAGGAAGGGGTGTTCATGAAATAGCTTAATTCTTTGATTATTTACACTATTGCCTTAAATTTAATGCAGTTCCAAGGACATCAGGATGACTTTAGGTTACCTTGAGACATCAGCTGTATTCTACATTAGAAGAATTCAGTAACATAGTAAGGCAGGACAGTAATGTCCTTGTAAGAACCTGAATACTGAAGGAATTCAGTGTGAGCTTTTATATGCCAGTACGATTTCTAACATCCAAAGTGGAGTTTGTACCCATGCTCTGACCTGACGAGAATCCATCCTGTCTCAAATTTCCACTAACTTTATTTGGCTATGACCCCAAAGGAAAATCACAGCTCCCTTTGGCCCACTATCCACCCTTTATTTTTCTAATAGTTTTCCTCATCCTAACAGGCCTCAAGCTATCCCTTCTCCACTGCCAAACTGACCAGTGAGATTTAGAGGAATACTACAATAAGGCAAATGATTTTGAGACTTGAGAAAGCACAAAAGGCAGAGAGGCAATTTTTAGGTTCCAGCAGCCTTACTTTGTGTTTGTAATGAACTTTTTAGAAAATATCTAGTTATAGTGTCATAAAAGTGCGTAGAGAACGGAAAAGTGAGATTTTGTACTAAGAAGAAATGTACCTGTGCTACTGGAACCTTGGATTTATCTGGTGTGTATATTTGCAAATAAAAATACAGGTACTAAAATGAAGTTATTTAGTCCCGGTTTTCCAGTTAAGTGTTGAAGATACAGCTTCATTTTTAGTGAACTCTATTCTCATGTTTGTCTTGCTATTTCTTTTTTTCTCTCCTTTTATTTCCCTCCTAAAAAGAAAGCTGGTATTTCTGGAAGATGAAAAGTCAAAGTTTATAACTTTCTGTTAGATTGAACTTGGAGCAAAGAAATGATCATGCCAATACAATGGTTAACAGATGAACTTTTGGGGCAAATTTATATTGTTCATGTGTTCCCAGACATCTTGTTTCAAGCATGTATTTTTACCTTAGAGTTATTGAGACATCTGGTAAGTACTTCGGCTATTTTCTGTGTAACTTCAATTAAAGTGTAGCTTTGCCAGATGGACAATATTGGTTATTATATACACAAAAGCATGTTTTAAATGGATTTATTCTGAGAATTTTTTCTCTTTTTTTCTTTTGCACAAAGCTATTAACACAACCGAAGAGGAAAAGAGGAAATGCTGATGTGTTTTTTAAAATGTTTTGGATGGACACATTATATAAATTCTTATGATATAGTAAGATATTTTTTGGAGGCAAAACTGTATGTTTACTAGCCTGCCTAGTACACACAGCAGCATTTATATTGAGTTTTATTGCTTTTGATTTGTTTTCTTTCAAAATTTATGTAAAATATAGTTACTATTAAGTAGTTATTTAATTTATGACTCTAGGAAGCTATTGATTTTTAAAGGTAACATTTTAAAGACCAAAAAATTGCTAGGTAATGTACTTCTGCCTTTATTACAACTGTTTTACAGATCTGCAACGCTATGGAAAACATTAAGGAATACCAGAAATTCCGTTGAAGGTTAGGAGGGTAACAATGAGTAGAAAGATTCTGGAGAGAGAATAAAGAAAACTTTATCACAATAAGAAATTAATTTAGTTCAGTGAAGCAGCTTACCCACCCACTTCGTCAGAGACTTCCTTTTACCTATAAATTATCTTCAGTTATACAAAAAAGATAGACTTACAGTTTAAGTACATTTCTGTCTCTTCTGATTAATGTCAAGACCAGTGCAAGAATTTTAAACATATTTGCAGGATGTTTGCAAGCTAAATGTTCAATCTTACACTATTTGGAAAGGAGTTAAAATCTGGGCCCCAATTCTAGGACCTTTTTTGCAAAATTATATAATAATCCCTTCTGAGAGTATAAAAAAGTATCTATTCACTGACCAGAGTATCAGCCCTTCAGTTTTCAGAATTTAACACCCTGATTTTGCATTATTATGCATATATATTCCCTTCTGCTTTTAATCATTTACATTATTAACACATTAACACCCAATTCTCTGATAGTTCTGATGTGATTCCAGTGACTTCATTTAAAGCAGGTCTTGATTGAAAAATGTTATTGACTTTGCCATAGGACAAGGTTCTAAACAAGTTAAAATAAAAATGTGTTACTTATTATTCATGTTCCTGTACATGTGGTTTATGGAAAAACTGTTTTGTTCTGTGTAGTAGTAACTAAATTCAGAGGGACAACGCTTGTCTTCTTTGGCTGAGACCCAGCATAGGTCACCTAGTCTTTCTGTTTTGTCTTAAAAACTCTATTTTCTTTTGTTTCTTATGATTCCCACACCTCCACTGACCTCAGTGCCCATTGCCTTCCTCTTGTGGTGAAACAGTTGGATTGTCTCATGCATGGGCAGGTGATATATGGAGGGATCACAGCCTCCTGTGTACACATAAAATGCACAGTCTTTCAGAGAATCCCACCCTCCTTAGAATCAACCTACTCTGAACTAATCAAGTGTTATAGTTCAACTTTTGAAACTAGGCAGGAAAGTCAGAGGTTCTATTTATTTACTTCTGCTATACTGGGATGTATCAGCTCTTGCACTAATGCAGTCTTGGTGAAACTATGACAGGTTTTTGTTGTTCATTCCCATATTACTGGACATACTGAGTAAAAGCCACTTTTTTTAATGCAAAGACATGGATACTTCTTGGACAGATTACAGGACTCACAAATAGTGAGCTGTAGTTACAAGCCTTGTGTTGTTCCCCATATGAAAATTATGTGTAATAACACCTATGATATCTTTGGGTTTTACCCAGAATTAAGATACCTACCCTTTATAACCTACAAGATTTTTTGCTGTCCTCATTCCTTGTGCTGGAAAATCATTTTCACTGCCCTCAGAACTGTCTTACATAGCATCAACCTGAAGAGTTTTTTCAGTGGCTTCAGCAACAGATTTGCAGAATATGAATTTGAAACAATTCTACAATCTTCTTCATAAACTTATCATTTCCCTTACAAGTCATTAAGATTCCCCTCCCACTGCTCTAAGTGGAAGACTGATTCAAGACCCCACTCCTCTGGTTTTAAGAAAGCTTCATTAGATCTCAAGACACATTCTATTTATGAGTATTTTTTACTTTTATACCAATTCCTTAATGTTACATATCTTTCCTTGGATTTCATTCTCTTGTAGCCTTTCTTTTGCTAAACTAAACAAGAATAAATTTATCCTAGAGTATGTGCTCCTTTTCAGAGGGCATCTTAGCAGTACTTTGTAATATGTCACAAATACTCTTTCTTTAGAGTATACCTTGACTCGTGCACCTTCGTGTCCATAGACAAGGAAATAGGTAGCAAAAGTCTGTCTGCCTATGCCAACAGGAAATTTCTTGCTGACTTTGGTCCAGTCATCTATTCTCGACATTCTTCTTGGAAGAATAAATCCATTAATTTATTCTGCTTTGATTTTTAGAATTTATAAAAGGTATTCTGAAAAGTAATGGGCTTGGGTGGCAAGAAGTGCAGGGTTGCAAAGCAAACCATATAAAAAGGGTTGCCATTTGCCATGCATGTGAAGCTGATCTCATTTCTTTTCTTGAAGTTAAAACACCCAAGAGTGCAGCTTTCAAAACTCATCCTCTAAGGAATTGCAAATGCTCAGGACTTCTAAGCACCACTTTTTGAAAGCAGACAATTGGCTGAAAGAATTATTTGTAAAGAGAAAAAACTAAAGGAAATGAGTCTGTTGACAGCAGAAGATTATAAAAATCTACAGATTTTCCATCTTCAAAATCTACAATTATATCTCTCTGATGAAAAGTAGACTGGTGTTTGAGAAATGTGAAAGTGATGGCAGTATATTATATTAAAGATGTGGGGGTGATTTCTTGGAAAGATTATAGTAACTGCTACTACATTTATACCAGTATATGAAAGTTAAATGTTAAAGGAAGAGTTTATAAATTGAAAATATGATGTATGTGTTGTAAGCAAACTCTTACATAAAGCATTACTTAATTGCATTTATATTGCTATTGTAAATGACATACTAATAAAAGCAGTTCTGAAGCCTGATCGTCTACTATTGCACTGCTATGGAGAGTGTGAAACAAAAGTTGCTAATGTTTGTTTTGCAGAACTGCATGCAGCTACCTGGGGTACAAGGCAGTGAAGCTCCATTGTAGTCTGATTTTTACTAATATGCATAAGTATGCATATAAGTCATAATTTTTTTCATTTCAATTTCAGTCTAACTTTTATTTACAGTTTTTCACCTTTGAACAGTACAGGAAGCTACTAGGATATGCATCATTACCTCCAGGACTGGTATGTATAGATAAAGAGCTTCATGTTCTAATTTAATATGTGTATACTAAATAGTCTCATCTGCTTTCTCTCTTGGAAGAAGCCCAAAATTAAATGGTCCACTTCAATCAACAGTTTTTCAGAACAGGCTTGTCCCTCAAAAACATTGATAAAGTATTTAACAAAATAATAAATACATCAATTTTTATATCAAATGTCTTCAAAATAATTCCCTACAATGTCATAGAATTTGTTAATATGGATAACAGCAGTCAACATGAAAAAGTCTGTATGCAGCTTATCATTATTCATTCTTGCAAAACAACAAAAAAGTTGACCGTTTTCAATATTTATTTATTTGTGTGATAGTGACTAGTTTGATACTTTAACCTCAAAGTGTTATTCTGCAAGGCACAGTGAAATTATAACAAAAATACAGATCTCTGTCTTATTCTAAAGACTTTCTAACGTAAACATAAGTTATTGATAAGAAGTTGCTACGTCCTTTAAAGTCAATGGCAAAACTCTCTTACATATCAGTGGAGCTAGGAATTCATCTCAAGAACATAACTGCTTTAATATATACATATACACAGAAAGGCTTTAATGCTAAGATGCAGCTTGCATGTGTAATCTGCATTTGTATATGTAGAATCATTGTAGAATCAATGTAGAATCATTCATTCTGCTATTGTACCATTTGGAGAAAAATACTTTTTCTAAGAACTACAGTTTCCCGAGGTGCAAGAATGCAAATCATAATAAATATCTGTTTTTCACAAAAATGGCATCACAACTGTATGAAACTATATTTTTATGGTTATGCTATAAAGGTTTTGGTTATTTCGGGTCTCTTTCAAACACTGTTACTTTCACTTACATCTGCCTTTCATTGCTGTGAGTGAATGGTCATAGAATTATATTGACTAGTTTAAAGCAAATTTCCTCTTCCTCTTACTAATTCCACTGACCATATAGCTTTTTATAGTCTCTCCTATTTTATCTGGTATTTTTCAGTAGGTTCTTCTTATCCTTAGGTATAAATAGAAAGACTAGTGAGTGGAAAGAATGGGGCTTAAGGTTCTGTAGTACCCCAGTACTATTCTGGCCTGGGGAATGAAATATGCCAAAAACTTGTAAATATGCAATGACTGGCCTATAGATCTGCTTTGATGCTTATAACAGATACAGAAACCATCCAACACCCCTGATCTTTTTGATGTAGTACTGTTACCACAGAGATATTTTTGACCCATGGCCCCATGACAGTGAGAGAAAAAAAAAGACTGAGAGGGTCTATGGTCTAAACTAGGCAGAATGTTTCTAGGTAGCTCAATCGACCTTATATCAAGGCAATATTTATTGTTAAAAGAGAGATGCATACATTAACACCGTCCTGCTGCTGGCCTCAGTTCATGATGAAAGGTTCTTATCTCATTGGAAAAGTAGATTTGATAATAACACAGTTTCCTCCAAAGGCAGTAAGGCTAGTGTTTGCCACTACCCTTCTAACTTTCCATTAGTCCTTCTCTTGAGTGTTCAAGAGTCCCTGCTCATATCGCTCTGTTTTAAGTAAGTTTTTTCTCACTATTGTTTTTTCCTTTCCATTGGTTTCTTTGAATTTCAGCAAACGTGCTCATTATATTGTATTTTAGTCCTGGGACTTTTTTCACCCACGACAGAATTTGGGGATGTTAAGTGGAAGCAATAAATGTGTAACGTGATCATTAAATTTAATCCCTCTGAATTTTCTCAATTGACTTCAGTATTTTAATACTATTTTTTGTTACAAACAAAGGTATTTTGGAATGCTATGCCATGATGTAAAGCAAAGCAGTGAGTATCTCCATACCTGTGGCTAAAATGTACCATCAGATTCTAAATAAATGGAGTTAATTCATCCTTGCAGTGAATGCAGACATTTCTCTGTATGCCACTCATTCGCATATAAACCACTCTAATATTGATACTTACCTAGGTGAACTTTACTTCTACTTGTGCAATTTGCTTAAGTACTGTTGGGTTGTTTTAATTTCTTACATTTATTTTTAAGTTAGTATGTTAGTGTTATGTGCTTAATGCTCAGTTCAGAGATTTTATTTTTTCCAGTCCTACATAACTTCATCTGTATTTGTGTTATTATTCAGACTCCACCCGAAGATAACATGAGGGCATTCTTTTTCCATGCTTTTGTAATAATTTGGTACCATATTTTTCCTTCCAGATGAAAAGAGAATTCATGGACAGTGCTGTGACATTTTGTCTTTTTTGAAATCTGGTTTATGGCTATTGTCATATTGTCCTCATGAACTGACAGCATCTATTCAAAGTTGTTTAGCAGTACAATACTGCTGCATTACTGTAATCTTACCGTTTGCATTGTATCATTCAGTTTCATAAGCTGATGTAGGGTAAGTTTTACTCCTTTAATTTTTAACTGTCATTTTAACTTTCCTAGGCATTTGCAGTTGCTGGCTTGGGATCTGGGTTGACAGAGGCAGTTGTGGTTAACCCCTTTGAAGTCGTAAAGGTTACCTTACAGGCCAATCAGAATGCCTTCAAAGAGGTATGAAAATTGCTTCATTCTCCTTTTTCTGCATAATGCACTTCAAGGTTCATATTTAGAATTTCTGTAATATATTGGGTTAATGCAAATGGTATTCCCACAAGCTTAACAGAAATGGAAAGAGACTCAATAGACGATGCATTCAGATATGCAGAGATGCACACAGTATTGTCAGAGGTGTCAGCATCTCTAGTGTAAATTTTCTGGGCCTGAAGTGCACCTTCATACCTCCAGAGCAGCCAGCAACCCTGCACTGTGAGGAATGGTAATCCAGAAGTACAAACCTGAGCCCCTTGTAGAAAGTGCATTTACCCCAGCAGGGTCCAGACTTCAAGTGATCACTGAAGGTTAGCGTAAAACACCATGGCCCTGTGCCTTATCCAGAGTCCAGCTGGTGTATTTTATGCTATATTTCTTGGAGGAAATTATTTGTAAAACTTAGCATTTATTAGAACCAACTGGAAAATTGTTATACAATAAAAAACATTGATAATTCAAATTCTTGCTTCATTTCAGTTTTATTATTCAAATACTATTTTGTCCAAAGAAGTCAGCATGCAAAACTAACTTTGTCCATGGTTCTAGGTATTGCTGAAAGGGGAAAAAGTTTAAACTGGAAAACAGTGATTCGTCAAAATCAAGTGTTCCAAGGAAAGCACCAGCTTCTAATGTTCCAGGCTAAAGTGGAGGAAGGCAGGAACACAGTTTCCTCTTTCTTTTCTCAGTGAATAAGACTAACAATTGTCATATCAGCTTTTGCAAAATCTTTTGAGAAATCAGCTGTACCACGGTAGAGGAGCCAAATCACATAAGCATGTGGTGAAATGGTTGGCTGAGTCCCTGGTGAGGCATGATTTTTGCATATTCTACTATTAAGTTTTGACTGAGTTAATACTTGCATGCCTTCTAGCACTCATCTGCACAAATTGAACCCTTTTGGGGAATGCACAGTAAAGAGTTTTATCACTTGGCCATTTACGTAATCTGTTCAGGCCAAGCTCCTCAGGTACATTCTGGAAAAATACAACCACTGATTTCCACATGTCATAGTCTAGCTGGTACTTACTCCCTTCCAGAGTATGCTCTTCCAGAATAATTCTTGAAGTGTTTGGTAAACTTCTGTTCTACTCCCAATGCATGTGAAAGAGATGTTTGTTTGCTGCATGTCTCCAGTCTAGACATTTTTTAACCTTGGGGAGCAAAGCCACTGAAGCAGATAGGTAAAGTACAGGATAAAAAGTTTAAGATCCTGCTAAGGAGAGAAAGTGGGAAAAAGCAATGTGTGAGAGGATCTCTCTCTCAGGAAGGTGATATGATAAAAATTATGAACAACTACTGCTCCAGCAGTGGTAAACTAAGCGTATATTCTGGATCTTTCTGCCTCGCAGTTGTGAAGATGTAATTGACCCATCTTAATAAAACTTCTAATTTTGAGTATAAAAACACCAGTATTATACTTTGAGCAAACTATTCCCTTTAAAGTTGCGCAAGACCTATATATCCTTTCACTTCATACATTTTAATCTTCTCCTCTACTGCAAAAGTTATAGCAAAGTCTGGGGTTAGGGTTAGGGTTTTAGTTTGTAAATTTTATGCAATTATTTACTTTAGTTACAGTATCCCTTGGTGACTTTCCAAATACTCCAATAATCACCATGTAGCTGTCTAAAAGCATTCTGAGTTGTTTTGTTTTAGGTGAATATTCTTTAATTTAATTTAAATGTGAATTTTCACAAAATCTAAATATTAGTATGTTATCGTACAAATAAAATTGTGAAAGAATGCTATTTGGACTCCACTAGGAACCTAGTTCACATCTAAAATGTGAACTATTTGCCCTAGTGAAAAAATCCAAGCAAAATTAATTTCTGAAATCACATTTATAGTTAAATCATATACATTATTAATTTTTAATATATATTTTTAAAAGTGTTAGAATTTCAAAATTTGCTGTGAATTAGAAAAAACTCCAATGACTTTATTACCTCTATCTCAAGTTCTCATTAAGAATATGTTGAAGATCATTCCATGCTAAAGCACGTAAACTCAAGCCTGTTGGAAGAAACATATCCAGAGGTTATATTATACAGTGTGAGGCAATGGTACACGCATTTCCATACCATGCACTGTTTTTCTAAAAGGTTAAAGTAAAGTGTGTACCTATCCCTTTGTGGAGCTTTCATACTACATGACGAAACCTAATGCAGTTCACATATTTCTTTGACTATTGTACTGAAATAATAAATATATCTTGTTTAAAAGGAACAAGGAAGAGTATGAACACATAGACTCACACCCATACTTCTGCACACTCCCAAAGCAAATATTCACACCCTTCGGTGACAGCTGAATTGTTCTGTGCTACCAGATCATCTTTCGAGGGTTGATAGATTTAAAGATGAAGGCCACTATAAATCAAGTATCAGCATTTTTGTAATGTGAATTGTTACAGGTAAAAATAGTTGTGCCTTTTTGTTAAACTAAATTGCAAAATAGCCCAATACCTCGTTGTTTGGTTTTCCTTTTTTTTTTCCTTTTTCCCTGTAGCCCTGGATAATTCACTGGCTATAGAAACTGGTGTGATGATTAAAATCTTCTCACCTGACTTAAGAGTTGTGATTAATTAAACAAATACAAGTTTCTTCTTTATGATGAGAAGAATGTGGCTCCAGATTCCATTGACTAGGTCTGTATTGAGTAAAAGTCAACAGTTGTGTGAAGTGAATTAACTCCATATGTTTATACAGTAAATTCCTCCATCTAAGGTCCTCCCATGATCAGTGATGAACCACAGGCCTTCTATGGTTTGATCACCTGACATGAGGATGCCTACTTCGTAACAGTGAAGTGCTGTCTAAGAAAGCCCTCTTTATTACTAAAGGACTGAAAAGGGAAGTCATATGTAGACATTGCAGATCTCTACATTTGGACTAATGAACCCCATCTCAGGTGTTCATCAACTGACAGGCTTCCCCTCTGAGTCATTAGCAAATTCGGATTCACGATAAGGGATACCAAGGGATACCTTAGTATTGAAGATTGCTGTATTCAGCTTAAATCACTTTAAACAGCACCACTAGTTATTTTTTAAAAATCTAAACTCCATTATTTGTGCATGAGAAAGGATGTTATTACTAGTATCTGGACAATTTTCTATGTTGAGTATAATAGATTCTGACTTGAATCCTGGGGAGTAGTTAAAAGGTAAATTATAGTAAAATCTTAATGCTCTGCATTAACATTAACTATGTTAACATTAGCTAGGATAACATTAGCTATGAAATATGAAAAACTAGAGTGAAATAGTATTAAAGACTAAACTTGTGACTCACCTAAATAAGCAGTCATATGCTGTGTCATATATAATAGGCATCATTTGGCTAATGCTGTTGATTCTACCACAGTGATATTTTGAAATGGAAAGCTATTAAACAAATAAATTTATTGAAATTAGCAGTGTTCACAGCGTTGCAGTCAAAATTTTTCTATATTTTCATGTTTGAACCTCCTAGTGGAAGTTATGTTTTGCCTTTCTAATTATATATTTGGTTAACGGGAGCTGGCTTGATGCTTTGGAGAAAGCGATTTTGGAGAAATGATTTCTGTGCCTTTTGGGTATTATTTTCAAAATGGGATTTCTAAAGGCAGCTTCCTGAATCTGTACCTTAGAATTTTAATGGGTGCTCTGATTTTCAAAACCTAAGTACAATTTTAAGTCAAATAATTCATTAGAAAGGCAAAACAGGTTTTGCAGTTGGATGCTTAGGAAAAGTTAAAAAAAAAAAAAAACCACACACAACTTCTTTTCAATATTTCCAATATTTAAAAATGAGATGTGTACCCAATAACCCCTTAAAATTCAGTGTCTTAAAGCAGTGGTTTGCATCCTGAAGAGCATGAAGCTCCTCAGAGGATCATGAAGAATTCCCAGATAATATATATAGATTTTGTCACCCTTTCAAACCTATTCATACCATTGAATCTGAAACTGGTAAACTGATCTTCAACACAAATATTTTATAGCCTCCCTTGCTGCTCTAACTTGTGGCTCTTAAGGACTTTCTTCTATAGCCATAATGGTTAAAAAAATTCCAGTTCTAATTCTATCACTTCTATCACTCCCTCATCACGCACATTCCTGTACCATTGATTTTACTAGAGAAGCTTTTTATTGTCCAGAATAATTGTTATATACTTCAACTGTGTAAGGGTTTCATCTGTTGTAATCTTCACAGCACAGCATCAATGATAAACAAAACAACCCTATTGCAAAATTCACACAAAGTTACGCATTGCTCTCTATATTTTTTAAATTATTATTTAAATATCTTTTTTGTTTTCAGGATCCTTAGTCTTTTGCAGTACTCAAGTCATGCTTTCTTCTTGTTTTGCAATCAGAAAAATAAGTAATCTTTTTTTTATTAAAGTTGTGAGTTTTATGTGGTCACAGGAAAGAACAAATAACTAATATGGTGAGACAAGATAAAATTACACAAGAATTGGCAACACTGTGCCAACAAGATGGAAATGCTGCAGTGTTTATTGTCTTCTTTTTGTAAAGATGATCTCTTCTGTCTTTTCTTAACTTGTGTAGCAACCATCTAGCTTTGTTCAAGCTCGGCAGATCATTAAAACCGATGGTCTGGGCTTCCAAGGTCTCAACAAGGGTCTTACAGCAACACTGGGCCGTCATGGAGTTTTTAACATGGTTTACTTCGGGTTCTACTTCAATATGAAAAACATTCTTCCGGTTAATAAAGTAAGTTCTTTATACAAAGCAATAGATAATCAGATAAGAGGTTTGGGGTTTTAATTAACACTGTATTTTTCTGTGCAAAGCTGTGGTTTTAAGTAATAAACAGTGACTAACCTAGCTCTGTTTTGCAGAAATCTATAGCATTTTAATGGAAGCAAATGAAGGTCTTGTACTTCTCATTTTTTAAGCAAAGCTGAGTATGGTCATGTTGGAATTATCATTTTTATGAATTGCCCTTTGTACCATGAGAGCAATGTGAAAAGGCAGCAATTGAAATAGAGGCATGTTATGGTTATGTTGAGTATGTATGCACTTTTTTGTGGCAAACTGGATTAGAAGGGGAAAATCAGTTTCTAGAAGTTCTTTCAGTATTCAAAAAGAGGCTAAGCTTGAGGAGACGGCAGAGCTGCAGTATGTAGGTTATTCTGGTCGGGTAAAGGGCTTTTTTACTCGAAAGAGAGTTCAACCTTGTGCTGACGGATGACTGGGAAGATTCTTCCATATGGGAGAGAGACAGGCCCAAAACAGGACATACAGGGTCATGCACAGGGACTTTCTGTAATTTATAAGTCTAAAAATAAGAATTGCTATAGCTTTGGTTTAGTTTAAAGCAACTTTGATAGTCCTATATTTCTTTAAATAACAAAGGAAATACTTCTCTTTACAATAACGGGAAATTTTACTAATTAAAATGTGGTAGTATCAGCAACTTTCTAAATTACTCTATTTGCAACACCTAATGGTTTATTAATGATTTCAGTACATTAATTACTGAAGTGTGTTTTCACTAATGCGATTTTTAGATGATGACAGTTAAACAGTCATAGGTATAATATGCAGTGATATACATATAAGAAGCTGCAATTTAGATCAAAAGGGATCAGTTTCTATTCCCAGATGAAGTAACACCTCTTTTTTTTCTGCACTTCTGAGTAGCCTGGTATTTTTGTTGGCAACATTGCGTAAATGGAGAAAAGCTCCACTTCTTAGTTTCAGATCATTACAGCAAACTGAATTGTTCAAGACCAGCTGACCCACAAGTTTCTACAAGTTTCTTTTAGAGTATTTAAACATACTTTACAGTGTACTTTAATCACACGTTCTAAAAACTCAAGGCACAAGCATAGCTTGATACTAAGATAACAGTAAACATGTTTGTGTTGATCAAGCAAAGAAAAATTATAATCACTATTGCAGAAGATTCTGAATAATATGCAGGTAACGACAAAGATTTATGTGCAACTCGTATGGGAATCCTGAAATGTCCTTCCATAACAATTGAAGAATAGTAGTAGTATTTGGCATAAGCATGCTTTTCTAGCCTTTCAGATTTAAAAAAATAGGAGACAATTATTACATTATTAGAAATATTCAGAGCTTTATGATCTAAAAGAAATTAGCACTTCATACAGATTTTGTATTATGTAGAAAAATTTTAACATTGCAACGTAGGTTTAAATACATGTAGAAAACAAAAAAGAAATTACTTCAGTGTTCTCAGGCAGTGGCCTAGCTGTCCTCAAATACTAGCAAAAGCGAAAGGCAATTTAATCCATGTGGGATTGATTAGATTGCATTAGCTGCAGATAAGTGCAGAGGTTTGCCTTGTGCTTGACCAATGCAAAGTGGCTTGTATAGCAGTTTGCACAGTGGCTTCATCTGTGCTAGTTAATTGAGCAGCATTACTGAAAGTCGGTCATCTGCACTGATAAATGTTCCCTGGCACAGCTTTGGCCCTGGCCAGCCAACATGGTTCTTGGGTGTGGCTTAGGAGCTAGTGCAGACAAGGAACCATTCCTACTAGGCTGGTTTCATGCAGCCAGTATCTTTTGAATGGTAATAGCTTCTAATAGTGCTAAAAAACTTAATAGGACTCTCTAGGCCAGCTAGCATCAGTGCCATAGACAGTTCTGTACCAATAAATATAATAAATAATTCTGATAAAACTCTCATTAAAATCAGATCAAACCTTACCCTGAAATTAAGAGAATATAGATCAGGCCTCATCTGGCTTGTGCTAGCCAACATTGCATTTGGATGTTTAAATACATTGAATTTCACTTCAGTGCCTGGTAGTATTCAAGAATAATTTGTAATCTGTAACTTAAACCTCTTCTTTCAGTGGACAGGTACTAGAGGCTGAGTTACCAAACCTCTACAAGGAATTTGGTAGAAGCTGGATTGTAGTTAGTCTGAAAAATATTAAACAGTTGTAACTTCTCAAGATTTCTCACATACTTGATTTCATTACACTTGATTTGATTTCCCTTTCTATATTTTGCCAGATAAGAAAGTCTGAAAGCCAGTCTTACAATATTGATAAATACATTAAAATTATGAAATAAGAATACTACCTGTGAAATAATTTTGACTCTTGACTATGTGGTTGCTGTTTACCATCTGTAACCTTAAGTGGAAAATGTAAGGAAATGTAAAATGAGCATTTCACTTGTCAGCAGTTCTAAACTGTGTATTAAATTTGCATCCTGATTAGGGATGTTTGCAGCTTATTTTGCCAAAAACAATAAACCTTGTATGTTTAATGGTCAAATGATATAAAGTACATGTATAGGTTGTAAATGTCCATAATAAATAATTTTTCATATATTCAGTCCATTCTACCAGACAATTTACAGCCAACCTTGTGCTCTGTTTACTGAAATTAGAATAAGCCAAATTTCTTTCAATTGCCACTAATGTATCAACCATAGAGCTTTAACAGCTATGCATCTCCCCTAGCAATGAAATTTGTCTGCAAATTTATATTGTCTCAGTTTTATGGCACCTGTTTTTATAGCACATTTTATAGGCATCCAGCAACTTTTGCTTTTCAATTTTTTATCATAATTAGGTTTGATAGTAAACACTGATTTCATTTAAACCTTTGCTCACTGCCACCTCCAAGTGGCTGTCATATTTCTTAACAATATGAAATTTCCTCACTGCCTGTTAAAAGCCCCCTTTGAAACCTGGCAAACTACAAAACTCATTTCACGTTGGGCACTGCCTGCCCCAGCTGTTGCAGATGTGCCTCCTGATACAAGGACTGCTGCATCAGACCACAAGAACTGTGTAGTGTGTTGTTTTGCAAGAGAAAGGGGTTCTAAACTTCTATAGGCAATGAAGAAGAAATGGGAAACCAAAATAGGCTGTTCAGATTGGTGACTAAAATAGCAGACAACAATTTCATTTTAGTTGTTTTCAAATATATGCAAACATAGAAGTTCTGTGTAGGAACAGAGAGGGAAAAGTGCATTTAGTGCTACAGACTTGAGGAAATAGTAAGACAAGGTGATTTAGATGAAGACTGAATCAGAATGGGTCATTAAATAATCTCAGAGCTACCATCCAAGTTCAGGTTTCAGGATGACCTGGGAATTTAAAAAAATTTAGGTGGCAGTTCTGTATCCATTATGATGTCACAAGTCACCCATTGGTCAGTATTCTTCACTGTGAGGTGTCCTGTGGCTGTTGAAATGACAGCCCCTACTGTTTAAAGACTTCAGCCCAGGTCATCATCACCAAAACATGTCGGCACCCAAGGGGTACAGCGTGTTGCTATCTCACCCATTACTGCACTGTAATATTTCTGTAGGCAAGACAGATATGAAGTGTAAGAAGAGGAATCTTCAGTTAAAACAAAACTATGAAGAAAAGACACTAATTTCTTCTGTTTTCCTACAGAAATTAGCATAATGCTTAAACTGATAACCAGGTTCAACCATAACTGGCAGAGAGTCAGGCTTAAAATAGCTACATTTTTTATAATACGTACAAATAATCATGTAAAAGGAGAAGAGATCCTTATGAGTGCCCCAACTGAGGGAAATTTTCAGTAGGAACTTACTCCTTATTAAACACTGAATTCCATGGGAAAAAGCCCATGTAAGCCTTAGTCTGGACTTGCACCTTTCCAGACATCGATATCAATCAGTCATAAGGGCTGATAGAATATCAAAATTCTTTAGGTCTGGTATTCATGGGGCTACTCACCTTTTTTTCTGTTTCATAAATTACTGCATAACTGAGACTGAAGATGGGTAGTGCTGACAAAGGTACCAGATGTAGAGGCAAGCATTAAGACACCCATTTCTCAGTGCCCTTTTCTGCATAGTTAGCCTCTAAATGATGCCATGAAAAGCTGAGCTGCTTGTAACCGCAACATTTTATGAACATCTGATCATCTGCAGAGTGACTCAACAGGGAAGAGCGGCTTCAAGTTTACTTTGTAAATGCATAAAATGAATAGAAGTCCACTCATTAACTGTGGTCAAGTCTTGATTAAGTTACGAACAAAAAGGGTGAATATTCTTTAAAACAATCAAAGCCTGATATTATCACAACAATTATGAGATTCACTTTCATCTTTTCTTTTTCACCTTTTCTGGAGACGCAATGAGTCTACATAGGTTTCTCCTCCTTAGTGCTGATTTCTTTTGGGAATTTGCACACCTCCAAAACATCTTATCTGTACCAGCCTCTGCCTCTCAGAGTATAATTTGACAGCCTTTCTTCCCAGCTCTTTTCTAGACTTCAGCAGGAAAACCTGGACCCTGTCTCTCCTCTGGCTTCTGGCTCAGTGTCTGTGCTTAAAAGCAACTCATTTGAGTTTTTTATCTGTTCCGTGTTGCTTTCCTGAGAGCTATCTCTCACCTTTCTTTAGATATACCTTTTCTCCTCTCTCTTGAAAGCTCCTCTTCCCCAGACCTGTGTGTTCCTTTCTTCCATTGTCTGTTGCCACGGGAAACTCCTTTTAGGGATTAAAAACAATTATCAGGCTGACTAAAGCAGTTCCTTACAGCCTGTTTTGCTCCCAAATACTTAATTATAGTCAGTGTGGCCTGGGTCAGGTCTTGTGGCATCTCTTAATTTCCCATAGGAGTTCCTATGCTATTACACTTTACGTTAGCCAAAAGAGACAGCAAGCAACACTATTCCATGCTCCTGGCTCATCTTCCTCTTCAGTTCCGTAACTCCAGGCTACACCAGGCAGAACCAGAGTTGGACAAAACAAGGCCTTGACTTTTAAAGTCTCCCTTGTCATACACAGGGAGGTGGAATTTGCAGCATATAGTGCGAAGGCTCTCAGCTCCACTCCTGGCTTCTCTGCTGACCCTTTATGTGATCTTGAGCAAGTGTTTTTAAATTTAGTGGTCATTTCAAATGACTTTTGCCACTTTTGTGCCAAGTGTAACCCATTTACAAAGCTAATGTTGTGGTTAATGTTTTCAAAGAAGTTAAAGAAACTTAATGCAACTATTACACTCTACATATTAGGTTTGGGCTAACTTCAGTAGACTGATTTGTAATTGCCAACTTCAAACATCATACTGTTATTATTATTATTATGCATTATTCATGCAATTTCTTAGGAATTGGTATTCTCCTTATCCAGCAAGCATTAGTCTTCTATAGTGAATTTATCTACAAGGTAGTCAGAAGTACTAAAACATATTTGTGAAAGAATTCTTTCTCATAAAATATGTACCTCTAGCAACTGAGGAAAAAAAAAAGAAAAAAGTGGAAAAACGTCAAGACATTGAATAACTGAAGCAAAAACTTCTAGAAGTAGCTTCATTTAGGCAAATTAATATTTACTGATCTTTTGGGTTTATTGATTTTTTCATTAAAAATAATGTTTAACTTTAAGTTTCTTTGTGGCATATTCTGCCACGGACTGAACATTCAGACTGAAAAGGGCCTCTGTTTTTTACAAGAGTAAAAAATAGACTTGGAGCTATTCCTTCAAAGGTACCTACTTCTCTTCACTGCACATGTAAGTGTAGTGTCCTGCCTTTGAATCTCTGGATTGCAGCTAAAATGGGTGGCTAAATCTATAAAAATGTATCTAGTGTGGTGAGTCATTATCTAGTATAAAAATATTTTTCAGTTATTCTGAAAAAATTACAGTAACTGAGTTGCAAGCATACATGCCTTTGCCAAAGGGTTATTTCATTGCTGTATTAATATCTGTGCTGTTATTGAATTAAATAACCTTCCCTCAGTAGGGATGAAGATAGTTGGGAAGCTTTTGACTGAGATCAAATATTTAAACAAAGGTTTTGACAAATTGCCCAGCAAATAAAGGAGAGAATGAAGTGGCTGGTAGAGGAAAGCCCAGGGCTTTGGAAGCTGAAGCTGATAAATTAAAACTGTCTCCAGGGGGTGACACTCCTATACTATACATGGGTGTATATGTTCTAGATTTAGGGCTAGAATTTTCTGTGGCTGGAAATTATGGAATATAAAGGAAGGAAATAAGCAGCATATGATTCAGGAGGAACTTACTGGGTGTCCACTTATTAAAAAATTTTATGATAGAAGTAATGTATAAAAAGCAGAGAAATAACGTCTCAAATTTTTTCTCCCCAAGACAGCAGGTAAATCCAACAGGACATGCATAAATATGGCATTTATCAGGGATGCCTACTACTCTCTTTAGTTTTAAAGGCTGCTGATGCTCCCAGGGCAGGAATTAAGATGTATAGGTGATGTGATAGTGAAGAGTTTGTTAAAAAGATGAGATGACCACAGATTGTTATCCAACCATGGCTAAATTATTCCATTGTGAATAAGCAAAATGCTATTTCACTTCATTGTGGCATGCTGTCCTGTGCTGTGACACCATCTAAAATCAAGTTTCCATTCTATGTGTTCTGCTCATACTACATAAAAAATTGGCTTTGCTTAAAAACAGAATTCATGTATGTTTTTCCTCAATTTCTGCCATTTATGAAAGCAAGAGGAGCATGTCAAAATCTTTTTTCCTAATGAACAACATACGAAACATATAATTGGTCATTGAGCTGCATAGTGCAGAAGTTGGTGACAATAGTGTGATGATAACTGCCTCAGATAGCCAGCTGCAGCATTAGGACTAGACAGATACCTTATCCTTGTCTCCTTCCATAGGGTTCTAGAGTGTTAGGAATATTTTGGCATTGTCCATAGGGCAAAAAAAGGTTAGATTTTGGTGTTAAAAGAAAGAAACTTCTTCATAATAACACCTGATAGATAGCCAATGTTCCTGTGTCCATGTAAGCACTGTAGCAGAGGCAGAAATTATGTTTGGAAATCTCTTTTTCAGTTGAAAGCATTATCACAGTAAAATGCCATTAAGATACGCTTTTAGAAAAAACCAACTTAATTACTCTTAACAGGTGAATTTATATGGAATCTGTTTTACAAAATAAGTTACCCAGCTATTACAGTGATTAATGGCATAGAAAAATCTTTCCCATGAGGTTTATAATAAAAAAATCGAGTTACAAAGCAAACATAGTGTATATCATGGTGTATTTGGTTAGAGTCAGGTTTTGTGAATGAGAAAAATGCTGCCTTTCAACCTTTTTCTGTCACGAATACTGGAATAGAAATAACTAATTTCTTTTAATTTCCCTTTAGTTATATTAATGCAGTGGCATGTTGTAAGACATACCTGCTGTATCCTGTACCCTATGGCACTCTCAGTCATAAAGCAGGAAACATAGGCATTGGGATTTCACCAAAACATTAAATGTTCAATCATTTAAATATAAAGAATGTGTCAGGAGCAGCAAGGCTTGAAATTTGGTGTTTAACAAGTAAATATCTTTGCCTAACATATATTGCATAGCATAGAAGGCAGCACACCATGCTTGGCACCAAATTGAATTGCATAACAAAAATAATTCAGACCATTCTGGACTGTGAAAAGTCAACAGAGCAGTGGTAGCCTCCCTGCTGTAGCCTGATTTGACTAGGTTATTACAGTCTGGAATAGTACTTAAATATCAGGTGTGGGTATAATCCTATACCTGCTGCCTGAAGCTACATAGGCACCATGCTGAAACAGGGCTGCCACACTGCTTCCCCTCCAGTTTCAAAAGAGGTCCTCCTTTCTTCTCTAGATAACAGAAATATTGTCTTTATTCTATTTGCATTTAAACCGCTGTATGTACAGAATGAACAGAAATCTGTTGCTTAGATCTTTGCCAATAAAATACTACAGTACCAAAAGCCATTATAATTTTTAAAACCTGTATACTTCATGTTTTGTGAAATCAAGGTGTTGAATTTTTCTGCAGGTAATCAAGAGCCCTGTTGATTTTGACATTTCTTTCTAAATACCTGCACGGATTTCATCCAATGCATATTATGGAAGTTTTAATTTATTTTTCTTGTTGCTAATCAGGAAAGGAAAACTTCATTCTTGTTTTCTTTTTCATTCAAAAATGTTCAGGTTTAGGAAACCAAAAATTCCTGGTTTTTAATATTGTGCTGATGTTATAACATGACAAGATCATTTATTATTTTAATGATGATTTTCTATTATTAAAGTACCTTCATGAATAAAGTGTCCTGCCTATTGAAAACTAATAGCAAAAAAAAATTATGTGCATAGGAAATGTCCTGGAACACACTGCCCTGTGACTTCCACTACTTAGAGAAATAGGATTAAACCTGCTTCAAGAGATTTTGTCTCCCAGATAAACTCTGGGTTCTTTGATGTCATAGAAATGCCAAGGTAGGAGGTCTTTCTGAAAGATCAAATAAAACCCAGTTGAACTCTGAACTGTGAGTGAGCAAAGAAGTCTTTAGATGCACTTCTAACCTATTTCTAACTTTTACCGTGAGCATGTAGTAGGGTTCAGAAACAATCTGTTGTAAATTCTTCAGCCAATTAACTGAGTGAATTACCACCGTATATAATGCACAGAACGTGGAGGCTCTCTTGCCGTTGTGCCAAGTTGGATTGTTAATAACAGGAAGCTAGCACTTCTCAGTACAGTGGATCAGCTACATGTGAAAATAAATGTAAAAAACCTGGAGGGGAACGGCAGCAGACTGAGATTAGCCTTTATTTAATTTAGCATTTGGGGGTCCAACACACAAATGAGTGTTTTAGTAGGCTTCATGGTGGAAGTTGCTGTCATTTGTAAAATATTCTGGCCAATTAGCTAATAGTGTGCTTGGATTTCTCCTGTTTTGATACAGTAATACTAAGTACATTGTGAAGCCCAATTATACAAATCATCCCCATATGCCATACCAGTCTTTCTTTATGAACTGTGTTTATAAATCCTGTGTGAGGAAATGTGTACTTCAGCAATTTAGACCATGTGTAAAAACACAGCCAATAGGATTGTCAAGAAAACAAGTTCCAGCATAGGAAATCCTAATGTGTTCCGCTAAAATAACACGAGTGTGTTGTGTGAGTTTTCTGATTAAATGCATATTACTTTATAGTGCTTAACCTGCATAGGTTCTTCCATTTCTCTTTTTATTCTTTCCTTTTTTTTCTCTCTTTTTCTTGTAGGATCCAAATTTGGAGTTTTTGAGAAAATTTGGAATTGGACTAGTCTCGGGAACAATAGCCTCAATTATTAACATTCCTTTTGATGTTGCAAAAAGTAGGATTCAAGGACCACAGCCAGTTCCTGGAGAGATCAAGTACAGAACCTGTTTTAAAACTATGGCAACAGTCTATAAAGAGGAAGGGTAAAACATTCTTATTTTAATAAATGTCCAGACCTCTGTTTCAGTTCATGTAGGTCCATAAAACCATGTTGTTACATTTCAAATTTGACAAGGACCATTAAGCCGCCCTGAACTCACATATCAAAAGAGCCCAATGTAACGTTCTGAAAATGTATTTTAGAATTACAAGGAGATATATTCCTACTATATGTGAACTCTAAAAAGAGACAGTATGATTATTGGGTTGTCGAAATTTCCATTGAACAAATACATACTTCATATATTTCGTGTGTAATTTTTTCAGCTCTTCATTTTGTAAAAGGAAAACATCAACAGAAAACAGAATATTTCTCAATTTAATCTAATTGTAATTATACAGGCCTCTATACCTTTAAAATTCCAGCTGAAATAATTAAATTTGGGGACAGATCCTTGTCGTAATAATGTTTTCCAACTTTAAAAAAATATTTCTCAAGTGGTGACTGAGTTGTAGCTTTGATATTCAATTATATCAGTCATTTTGTCCCTGTATGCAGCTGTTGCTAACAGACCTGTCTTGAAAGTAAACCCAGCTCACTGATTAAAGTCATATTTCTGATTGGTTAGGCTCACAACATTGCTTTTGTGACTGAACATTGATTAGCTTTTTCTCTTCATCTGATCTGCCTCTGTAAAATGTTAAAATCCAGATACGGCCTGCTATTGAACATGTTTAATTTCAAATAATTGCCTCTAAGTGCTCTGCCAGCATTTTAACAAACATATGCTACAATTCCATTCTTCTTTTAGAGCAAGAATATTGTTTGAAATATTTTGTTTGTTTTTCTTCTGCTACAGATTTCTGGCTCTGTACAAAGGCTTGCTTCCCAAGATCATGAGGCTTGGTCCAGGTAATTTTCCTTATGCCATTTCTATGTGCTTTTGTTCTTGTTTTCTCTTCCCATTTGTCAGTTTCTTGAGAAAGTATAGTAAGCATCAGTCAAATAAATGGAACTGTGTACCATAAACTATCATGAATCTCTCACTTTGAGTGATTTCTTTCAATAATAAAACCATCTAATAGTATGATATATGAATTTATCTAAATATGTGTCTAAAAAGAATCATTTACACATACACATAAGATGCAAGTAACTGCTGTTTTTTGTAATTCCTTTATTCATGATCAAGCCTTAGTACATCTATGTGAATACTAGAACTGTAAAACTTTTGGAAGCTTCTTAAAGCTTCCTATTCCTTCTAATGTGATCTTTTGATTTCACTAGGACTATTCAGTATCTATGTGAAGTCACCATAAAATACCAGTTAAAGTCTCTCCAGTACAAATACACTCAACTAGTCGAAGCATAGCCCAAGCATATCAAATTCCAGTTACTTTCTTCTCCTCTGCTTTACATGTAAAGAACAAACACCAAAAAGCTGATAGCTGATAGCTGGGAAGAGACTTGTTTGGCCTGGAACACTAAGAGGACAAGGATATTTTAGAACTGGGTTGCTTTTTGACCCCTTCTCACTACTTGTTACTTCTTCTTTAACTTTTAGAATATTTTTCCCTGACTGGTTTTGATTAATCATGAAAGCAAAGCACAGGGCCCTTAGACTTTGCCAGCCCACAGAGGCAGTCTCTGTCAAAAAGAGCAGAAGCCCCAGTTTAAACAGTATCCTATTCCCATGAAATTCTTTCCAATTGTGCAACTTGGTTTAATAGACAAGAACACACATGGGTAAAAGCAAGTAGGTACAGAGTCTGTTCTGCAGTATAAAGGAGGCATTAGGTTTGCCTGTAAATGTTTGCATATCCAATCCATCTGGCTAAGTGCTAGACCATGCCTGGTTATTGTGCAGGGTAAGGAAAAAGGTGGGGATGGGAAAAAAAGGAGCTCTAGAGCTAAAAGCCTTTTCCCTTACACTCCAAAGATATTAGATTGCATACAGAACAAAGAGAAGGCAAGGGTTTGCTTTCCCAGTACCTCTTAGGACAGCAGATTTTGGAATAAAATTTTCCATCTTACAAATGACTATGCATTCTGGCCCAGATCCAGGAAGTCAGTTAAGTGTGAACTTTGTTCTAAATACTTTTGTAGTCCCATTGACTAATAGATAGATTTGACTTTCCAATGAAACACTTATTGTGACTGGAAAGGTAGTTCCTTCTTTCAGAATGTGAGTGCTTACAGTAAAAGAGATATGCAAACAGATTACACAGTATGAGAATTGGAATCAGCCTCAATTTGAGTTCAAATCAAATCTTAGATATTGTGTCTATGAGTTGTTTGTTGGTCAAAGCCTTTTGCAAATTTCTGCTCTGTCTAGCTGTCTGTGAGTTGCTGTTCATAGAGGATTTCAAGTCTGATGATGGTTCCTTAGGGTAAATGATGTGGGAAAACTCATGTGGTAGTTCTGTGTGCCTGGTTGTTTTAGCCTATCCCTAGAAAGGTGAGCCCAGTTCAGCAGAAGACTGAGGTGCCACTCCAAGCCACCAGCTGAGCCAACAGGCATAGGATTTATGTCCCAGTGCTGGAACCCACAATTAATACACTTTTACTCATGCAGCCTCATTCTCTCATCCCTGGTGATGAATTTTTGTCATTCTACCTGTCAGGTTGCTCTTTCATGGCCAAATCTAACTAAGCAAACACAAAAATATATACATATTTGGATTAAAAATTTCACTTGTAGAAGAACAAAGAAAAATTTTAATCTTCCAAAAATTTTAGGAAAAATCACAAAGAAAGTGAATTTGATTTAATATAAAACTATTTACATCAACTTTAGGATCTAATATTAAGTAAAATTGGTATGGTTTAAGAATTGGTGACTTTTTAATGTACTAAGGAATTAGCAGAATTACCCATTTTTCAAATAAGGCTTTTCCATATCCTGGTTTATATTGCACATTACACATGCCCTATAAAATCTTGAAAATACTAAATTTTCTATGTAGTAAAATATTATCTTTTCTTCCAGGTGGTGCAGTGATGCTTTTGGTTTACGAATACGTTTATGCTTGGCTTCAGGACACAGTTAATCACAAGTAGCACTTCTGAAAAATGTACTCTTTAAAATTTTGTGCATTCTAAAATACACTTCAATAAAGTAAAAGTGATTCTTATCTGTTATGATGTTGAATGCCCTCAGATTGCACTGATGTTAATAAGTTCAAAACAAAGTTGGTCTTCAGGTCATGATCCAAGAAAACATTTAAGCACATGCTTTTCTATAAGTGCATAAATAAATAGCATTGTTGATATTTGTAATTGTTTTGCTGAATCAAGAGAAAATATAAAAGAGACATAGGAAAAAAATAATTTTTAAAGGAATTTTTGACAGAAAATCATCCTACGTAGCTATACACTTTTTTAAGTTTCAACTGAAATGACAAGATAATAACTTTCAGGGGATTTTCAGGGAAAAAAAATTAATAATCCTGGGAGGCCAGATACTAAGCTGACAGCTCCATTAACTCCACATTAAGAACATGACCCATACTCCTCAGCTCTTGAGTAATCTTGAGTTCAGTTCTAGTTCAGCCCAGTGTGATTTCAGCAGCCATAGAAAAGCTTCTTAAGTTGTTGGGAGTTTGGATAGCACAAGGACGGCCACAACCTTAAAAACACACATACCATTAAATGTCCTGCTTGTTCTTAGCCATATATATTGTAGAAATCTCATTCAGGCCACAGAAGATACTGAAAATAATTAGTCTAAATCAGGTTATGTAAAAAGTGCAAAACAGCATGGGACTCAGAAGAAATTAGTAAAGAAATAAACAGAAAAATGTAATTTCAGGCATATTAACTTTTACTGTGCATTTTTTATCCACCTTCATATACTATGTCTAAAACATCTGTCCTCTGATAAAAATTCTCAGTGCACCCTGACTGCCCTTTTAGCCTTTCATTTCCACCATGGGATGGTGAAACAAGTTTCCAAACTGATAACACACATGCAGTTGTAATTAACTAGTCATACACCTCAAAGAAATGTACCTTTCCATAGATAAAAAAAGGCTAGAATTGTTGCTTTTCCCAGTCACTGTAAATATAAATAATATTTCAGGGATGTACTCATGTTCTTACTAGACATTCTAAATATCTCTGTAAAATACAGTAAATTCTGTCACGTTGATTGAAAACACAGTTTCTGTTCATGCAGTTGTGCCATTCTACATTTTCTTTTAAAGAACTCTTTCAATAAATTAAAATTACACATCATTGTGTTATAAAAGTGTTCCCATTATATAACTAGGTTTATTGTCAAATGAGTGTATATCTTGCAATTGCTGAAAGTTTCTGTATCTCCACATGCTACATTCACACTGTTTACTTTGTTCTTCCTCTTAATAAGGTACAAACCTGTTTCTCAGCTATGCTAAAGAAATTGTTACTTGAAAATGACAGTTCATATGTGAAGTCTCATCTCACGAGGGTTTTTAACGCATTAGAAAAGCAGTAAAAAGCTAAAAATAGAAATGCATTTTCAGCACTTTCAAGGATGCCTGTATTGACATGCTCAATAAACCTCTTTTTTGTCTGAATTTGGCAATAGAGGCTTCTCATACCTATGCTACTTCATAGCTAAAATCAATAAAATTAGCTCTGTTAAGGTTTATGACTTAAGGCAAACGTTCCTTGTTGCATTTCATTATCAGTACTTAGCCAAAGAGAAGACACTACTAAGATAATTTCAAAAACTAAAGCAAAATGCTTTATAATTTGTCTTTTATTAATTTAGAGCATTCAAAATATAAAAATAAAATGCTTTAAACATACTGTATATACATATATAGCCTTCAGTTTTACATCCTTTCCAACATGATTTTTTTTTCAGTTAATAGCTCAGCCTGATCTTTGATAAAAGAAGAATGATTAGAAAACAGAAAACAGCATGGGCTTGGAAAACTAACCTATGAGCATGCCAGCCCATTCCCCCATTACCCCTGGTGTATTAGGGGCTGTGATTCAGTTTTACACCAAAAGACCATGCAAAACACAGTTTGGTTGTCATAGAAGGGAGTATTATTAGGCTTCAGTGATTTCTTTGAAAACATTTGACACTCTGGGAATGAAGTGTAAACTTTTCAGATTAAAAACTACATATTCTGCACCCACATATACTGCATATTTCCCAAATGCATCCATTCACCTCAGTGGGTTCACTCCAGATTTATACCCTTGTATTTGACAACAATATTTTAGTCTTGTTTATTACTTTTTGAAAAACAACTCCCTTTTTCTCTTTAATTTAATGTAAAGTGGCTTACAGTTGTGTGGTTAGTAAGCTAGGCAGTTTTCAGTTTACCCATGAGTATAAGCAAGGAAAAAAGTCCTTGTGCAAAGAAGTATTCTGCACCATAGGTTTACATTTTTTTTTTAAATTTATGAAAATTCACGCAAAAGATACACTGTCACAGGCAGTTCACAAAGAGCCAAGGTCAGGTAGTTTTGCTCACTCTGAGCAACACTTTCTGCACACAGCCCTGCTGACTTCCCATTCAGGGGTAAGGTATCGTGCACAGCAGGCAGATGCACAGAGAACTGTACCTAAACAAACACAAAACAAAAATGATTTACGATGGTGTATTCCCATCTGAGGAATAATTAACATCATGTCCTGTCCTTGCTGTATAAATTATCCTGATTTAGGTGAAGAGAAGATAGTGCAAACAACTCATACAAGCTAAGGATCTGTCTCTCTATCTCCCAAAACATGCTAATATCTCATGAGAATGTCAGGAAAGACAACTTTTATTCCAGAAATGACCTCATGTTACTCAGGAAAATTTGGAAAATTTTTAATACAGGCACACTTCGTTACAGGCTTGCGAATTCTTGAAGTTCTAAAAAGCTCTGCTACAGAAGGCTTCTCTTCCTTTTTTTTTCTTTTTTTTTCCACCTTTGATATCCCTTTTTTGATTTGCATGGATAACAATAGGAAGACTTACTCAATAATTCTATAATTCAGTAAAACAACGAGGTTGAAACCTAAAGTCCTCTTGCCAATTTAATCATTTATTTACTCGTGATCTTTTTTTTATCTTCTTTTTCTCCCCATTTTATTTTTAGTGAAGAGCTTGTCTAAAATTAAAGCAATCTCTTTCTCATGATGTTAAGGCTCATCTTATTTCAGCTATAATGGCATAAAGATAGAAAAACATCCATCACGTCACTAAAGTGTGACAGAGTGGAAATGCACTTGAGTGCATGTTGCCTTTAGTGGTTCCAGAGAAACATTCTTGAAAAAGTGTTCTACTGAATAACAAGGGTTTCAGCATCTCATTAAAGCTAAACAGCTGTTGAATGCCTCTGAGGCTGAAGAACATGAATCAGCATCCAAGGGCAGATTTTCTTTCCTTGGGGCCAGAATACAATACCTGTGTTCTTTATAGAAATGCAGTTCCGTTAACTACTTTTTAATGCAAAAAGCAAAGGTAACAGCAGCCACCTGAGTATGTCTGTATTTTAGTGGACATACTGTGTATGACATAAGTACTGGTTACTAAGATTGTTATGAAAATTTACGCACAGCTGTCTTGGTGATGAAAGCTGGAAATCCACAAAGAGAGGACTGCGTTTTAAGAGGGGGCTGTATTTTACTTTCCCACTGAATTAAGGTTTAATATAATTTGCAGATAGAACAGTATATGAAGAATGGTATTTTCACCTTTGCTTTAACTATATCTAGTGAAATTTAAGTTATTGAAAAACATTTATAAAAATGCACAATATATTAATATTCTATGAAGGACGAAATGTCACACCAGGCGCTTTTTTTTTTTCCCACATTCATATTCTGAACATACCTACAGCATGGGGAAAGCATAATAATAGTCAGAACTTTATTAGTGCCCAAGGAAAACAAATAAATTTTCAAAGATCAGAACATTTGCTCTCTTGGGATTAAAGTTTAAAGCATAATAACTGGCACAGAGTACTTGCCACTGGATACAGAAATGTAGAAAGGGAATTTGCTAATATTAAATAATATCTGTGTTTGTAGCACCACCACCAGTATACCTATAAGGAAAAAAAAAATGCTTCAGAACAACAATGTAAACTTTACCAAGAGCCATATTTTACATTCATTAAAGCAGAAATTAAAGAAAACTTCCCCTTTAAAAAATTACAATATAATCTTGGGGCCAAAAAAGCTGAACACAGGTAAGCTGAGAATGATGGTACAATTCTGCTTCTCAGTGGGTTTGTTGACTAAAATTGCTTTGTACGCATCTCTGCACAGGTTGCACACCAACAGCATTTTCTAGAATCTTCAGTTTTGCTCTGATATTTTCCACCCATTTTTGTTTGTACTCTTCACCTGAATATGGTGTTTCGTGAATTCGGGAGACTGGGTATAGCTGTGGAGAGTTACTTAGCTGGATTTCTGCCTTTACATCTTCTGCCAAAGAGGCAACTATTTCACAGGATGTTGAAGCCTCCACTGTAGGCACAAAAACATGGTGAGAAAAACCTACCTAAGCCTTACCACTTGAGGCTATCACCTCACCATGCAAAGACACAGAAAATATTAGAAATCATCTTTTTAACTGAAAGAAAGAGAAAAAGAGAGAGAGAAAGAAAGAGAAATGTACTGGAAGGTGAAAACAAATGCTTTCTAAAACCTATATTTACAAATCACAAATTTATTACTATTGCCTTACGATGGTGACATGATAGAAGAATCTGAGAGCCATCTATTGCCTTAGTTCTATATTTGATTACCAAAACCCAACAAAACAACCAAAAATGACCTCTTAATAACAGTGCATTGTATAATCTCATCAATGAAAATGTTGTTCTCTAGGCAATCAACAAACACGTCCCATTTAGCTGCCTTTGCTGATTCAAGGCATAGCAGAATTTTCTGTGGTTATTTTTCTTTATTGATTTTTACACAAATCTAAATAACAATTGCACATTTAGAAAGTTTGTGATGATTAAGAATAAATATGTGTGGTTTGACCAGGAGAGAATGGGACAAGGCTCCATGAGCCCTTTGAGGGACACAAGGTCTTTAAGAGCGCAACACCACACTTCTCTCACTTTCTGATGTTGTCTTCAGCTTTAGCCATCCCAAAAGTCTTACAGGAGACAAGTCACAAGGAGAAATGCCAGGTATCACCAAGACAAAGAGAGCAGTCTGTGAGCTAGGCTCAGGGGATGACAAGCCAGCAAGCTCATGGTGGTCCTGGACTCCTACATCAGAGAGCGGAGGCTGTGACAGAGTGGCTCCCCTCCCTGGCTGTCTGCATGCCCTTGAACGCCAGCGAGGCGGGGATGTCACAACTGTGAGGGGACAACGGGGTGCCTCCAGCATGCTGCCAGCCATGGCTCGCCATGTAGCTAGACGGGGTGGCGCTGTACGTCATGTAAGGTGACACTTGGGCTGGTGTGGCGTAGGGAGGCATGG